TTAAAACAGATTCTCATGTTGGCAGTTGACTTTGAAGAAAGGAGGGCTTATAAGAAATATGACTTATGTCTGTGTCATTCTAAAGTAAACTAAAGAAAACTTGCAGTTTTGTAATTTTTTTTTTTTTAAATAAACAATAGACTTGTGCACGACTTGACTGCCTGTTACTTGGAAAATACTGGGGGTCCTCCCCATGCCCCCTTCAATTAGCATTGGGTGGGAGCTTAAAATTAAACAAATAATCCACCACCCCCTCCATGGACTTAGGGTGTGAGGTATAAGTAAAATAAGGAGATATACTATAACATTTGAGCCATGGCTGCTAAATTTCCCCAAGACTCCTCCTAATAAAAAATGCCCTACCTGTCCCTCACCACCCCTCACTGGAAACTGACATTTCAAGCTGGGAAAAGGCCTCCACCTGCCGCATGGTCTGACTGCTCCAGGCAACCGCGCGGCACACTGAGGGAGACTCACCTCCCTCTAGCCGTGCAGACCTCCTCCTGCTGCGTGGTCTGGCCGAACCACGGGGCATAGCATCTAAAAAATAGATGTGGACCTGGACTCTTTTTAAAAAAAAAATTATTCTTTAATTTAGCAGTGTTGCTTAGTTAGCATGTCATAATACAAAAGTGAAAACAATATGCCATTGTTATACATATAGGTAGCAGTTGGATGATGGTATCTATGCACTGTTTTTTGTTTTTTTAACAAGTAATAAACGGCATGGAGATGCCTGAAGAGTCTGTTAGTTAGGGTCTGTGTGGGTCGGTGTATAGGTTCTCAGCTTCTTAATTAGGGATATGCTTGAGTCTTGCCTTGCGGGACTAAGGTGTGTGTATAGCATATCTGCTGTCAACGCCAGTCTACTTGCCCCAGTGTCTGGGGTCTGTGTGGTGAGGAGATGAGCTGTTAGGAGGTGTAGCTCGGGTGAGATCCTGAAAGAAAGTTAGTGAGGCATCTTCGAATGTAAGTGGCATTTTGCCTCTGGCTGCTGCCATGATCTGAGTTTGGTCGTGGTGTGTCAGGCATCGCAGGATGACATCTCTGCTCATGTTGGGAGAGGATTTGGGTGGCCCTGCCACCCTGTAGGCTCCGTCGATGGTCATCTTCTTTGCAGTTGTGTGTGGTAACAGTGTGCCCAGTAGTCTCGGGAGGTAATGTGGCAGCTCCTCGGAGGGTATATTGGCTGGAATGCCACGTATTTTTACATTATTCCGGCGCTGCCTGTCCTCCATGGATGTCATTTGGAGTGACAGGGCCATTTGGGCATTGTGTATTTGTTGGAAAGTGTCCTACATGGTGGCCATGTCTGTCTGTACCACCGTGATGTTTGTTTCCAAGGTTTGTACTCGGTTTGTAACCGCCTGGATCTCTGTCTTGAGGTGGTTTAGGTTGGCTGTTCAGACTCTTTGTATGTCTGTTAATAGGGTCCTTAGGTCTCTTTTTGTGGTTGGAGCTGCACCTTCGTCCGGCTCTGTGTCATAAGTTGCATGCAATGGTAGGGGTTGCTGTTGGTTCCTTGTTGTGGGGTGCTGTAGCCTTGTTTGCATTGTCCGCAGGGCTTGTTCTGCTTTGTGTTGGTCGTTGTAGCATGGTGCCTAAATCCCTGCCTTTGGGGGCTGTGTTAGGCTTCTGGAATCTACGGCCCATGTTTAGCTCGCGTTCTGGCAGGGTGGGCGAGTCTGGCTAGTCCGCGGAGTATGGCTTCCAGTCCAAGGTATGGTGGCGGGAGGTAGGCCTTGGTCTTGTGGCGCTGCCTAAACTGTTTGTGGCCGGTTTGAAAAAAGGCATCTTGTGCTGCAGCCCGGTAAGTAGAGTCTGGGTACCGTGTTTGGTAAGCCGTGTTTGGGATTACAGGTTATTTTCCTTATTTTAGCGGCTGATTGTGGGGAGTTGTTGAAGATGGCAACTGATCGGGTTGCTTGCTAGCTCCGCCCATGCCCACTCTTAAAGTGACCACGTCATCATTGCAATCCTAATCTGTTTTGGATCGCAGTGATGACGTGGACCTATCGGAACATAGGTAAGCCTATTTTAGGCTTATTTTGGCCCCCATTCATTGCCCTATTGTAGTTTCTGTTAGATCTTCGTTTAGTGCTCCTAGAGATTCCATTGGAATTTCCTGTGTTTGTCCTCGGCTTCGTATTTGACTTGTGATTTCTGGTATCCTGACCTTGGTTTCATATTTGACTCGTGATTTCTGGTATCCTGACCTCGGCTTCATATTTGACTCATAATTTCTGATATCCTGACCCTGCTTTTTCTTGACTCGTGATTTCTCGTATCCTGACCTCGGCTTCATATTTGACTCATAATTTCTGATATCCTGACCCGACTTTGTATTGACTCTGAGTATTTCTGTTATCCTGACCTTGATTTATTCTTGTTGTGTTTATAAGTGAAGTCCGGCCATTCTAAGGCTCGGTAATACGTCTTTTGGATCCACCTTTTGTGGATTTCCTGTTTCCTGCGTGTTGGGGTACGACTCCCCTGACATTACGATAGGGCCGTGACCCTGCAGGGTTGGGAGCTCCACAAAATCCTTGCCAGGCTAAATTTAAGGGAAATGTCCCACAGAATGGACCAATTCACTCAGGCCTTGTTAGCCAGAACAGTCCACCTCTCTACTGAAAACCTTCCACCTATGCCTACCCAGCCTGTGCCTGTGGTGATTGAAGCTTTTGGTCAGAACAGTATGACCACCAGCTTGACACAACCTTCTAGATATAGATATGGTTGCGATCCTAAGACCTGTCGAGGGTTCATAAACCAGATAGAGTTTAATTTTGAAACGTCTCCCAGGTCTTTTCCCACTGAAAGATCCAAGGTCGTATTCTTTATGCACCAGTTAACCGACAAGGCCTTGGAATGCCTAATCCTTTATGGGAGGCATTATTATTACAAGATCTATGTAAGAGCCTTCCTTCAAGCGTTTTCAAGCGTTTGATCCACCTGGCAGAGAGAATAGTGCAGCTAAATCTTTCATAAGGATTAAGCAGGGAAACAGATCTATAGTGGATAATGTGTTTATTTTCTGCACTCTTGCTTTTGAGGTTGATTGGACCAATAGTGGTTTGGCTTCTGCGTTCATGGAATGGGTTAATGATAACATCCTTGATGAGGTGGCAGCCAGAGATCTTCCAGTCCTTCTAGATGACCTTATCAATTATGTAATCGGCACCCCTAGGGCCTCAGTTCCTTGATGTTTCTTCTTCTACAGATACTGAGCCCATGCAGCTAGGTGTGACCAAATTGTCTGAGATTGAGAAACAGAATAGGAGAAAAGAGGGGCTCAACCTATATTGTGGCCAGAAGGGGCATTTTAGATTGACTTGTCCAGTGCGTTTGGAGAACTGTCACACCTAAGGTCGCTCAGGGGACCGGCTTTGGATGGGACATCAGAATCCCCTTTAATGCCTCATAAAAGATGACTTCTTCCCATCACCTTAACTTGGGGTGAGAAGTCTATAGATGTTTTAACGCTCGTAGATTCTAGAGCAGCTGATAATTTTATAGACCTGGGTTTTGTCAGGACCCACTAACCACCCCTAAGAAAGGAGACACGCTTGGCTGTTGAGGCCGTAGATGGTAGACCTTTATATTCTCCATTAATCACTCATAAAACAGAACAGTTGACTATGCGTTCAGGTCTGTTACACATGGTGGATTTGTGTTTTCAGGTGATCACCTCCCCTTCTTCATCAATCGTACTGGGTTACCCTTGGTTACGTCTACACAATCCAACTATTGATTGGAGACAGGGTGAAATCAGCTCATGGAGTGATACGTGTCAGGAGAAGTGTATAAAAAAGGTCACTCCTGTTCGTCTCATTAATGTTCCTACTGCCCCACCACGGTCTACAGACGTACCATCCTCTTATGTACACCTGAAATCAGTTTGATAAGAAGGAGGCAGACAGATTACCACTTCATAGTCCTTATGATTGTGCCATAGATCTCCTATATGGTACTATGCCACCTAAAGGAAGGGTTTATCCCTTTTCTTCCCATGAAAGTATCATCATGGAGGATTATATTGGCGATTCACAAGCGAAGGGTTTTATACATAGATCTTCCTCTCTGGCTGGGGCTGGTTTCTTTTTTGTACCCAAAAAAAGAGGTGATCTAATGCATAGATCTAATGCATAGAGGGTTGAATAAGATCACAATCAAAAATCCATATCCTATTCCCCTTATCACTGAGCTTTTTGGCAGGCTAAAAGGGGCTTCTGTCTGGATCTGAGGGGAGCATACAACTTGGTACGCATTAAAGAGGGGCATAAATGGAAAATTGCCTTTAACACCAGAAGTGGGCATTATGAAAATGCAATCATGCTTTTCGGCCTATGTAATACTTCGGCAGTTTTACAAGATTTTATCAATGATGTCCTCAGAGACTTCATACATTAATTCGTGATAGTGTACGATATTCTGATATTTTCCCCTGACCTAAGTACACACATCACATACACGTATCCAAACATTTTTCGACAATGGTTTCTTTTGTACACTAGAGAAGTGTTTGATCAAACAGAAGTCCATTTTCTGGGTTATGTCATCTCAGCCTCTGGATTCAGTATGGATCCCAAGAACTTCTCAGCCGTTGTTGAGGGGCCTTTGCCTCAGGGCTTAAAACCTATCCAAAGGTTCATAGGGTTTGTCAACTATTATAAGAGTTTTATAAAGAATTTCTCTACCATTATTACCCCTATCACGAACCTCACTAAGAAGGCTGTGAACCACTATGTTTGGCCCCCTGAGGCATGGGAAGCCTTTGAGAGCCAGAAAAAAGCTTTTTTTCTGCTCCTATCCTCAGACATCCTGACCATTCAATTCCATTTGTATTAGAAGTTGATGCTTCTGAGGTAGGAGCTATTCTGTCCCAGCATTCGTCCCCTGACTAACCTTTGCACCTGAGTGTTTTCTTCTCTAGGAAACTCTCGCAGGCGGAAAGTGTAGTGGACCACGGGTAGCCCAACTGGTTACCTTCCGTAATTCCTTCACTCAGCCACTCTGGAGCCATAAAAACATAGACATCCAGTCCCCCAGTAACGAATCATAGCTGATTTATTTTCGACTACACACGGCTTTTGTGCACAGACGCCTACATGTAGTCTCCAATACAATAACACAGGGGTGTCAATCCCAAGATCCTCTGTGAGAGATAATTGCGTGCAAAAACCCTATAATTCAATTTTACCACATGACAGGAGGCTTCGTATTTCGCATATCTCTCGTTACTAACTCCATACAGCAGTAAAGAAACACATAGAAAAAAGAACCAATCACAGGAGAGCAGGATGTACATAAGGCAATGTGACCTCATCATTTCCTCTTTCTTTATTGCTCCATCAAGCAGACAGGACAGAGTATTACTCTTCTCCATTACTTATGTTTACAGTGCCTCTTTGAGGTTGTTTCTGTATTATATTTTTTTTATATACTTTACTGTATGTTCTTGCTGTGCTTCTGTACTATGTGCAGCTGTGTTTTTTCTATGTTATTTCATAGATATTATGTAGATTTAATGTAATCCTTATTTCATAACCTTTAGTTGTGATTAATATCACATTATATGTACTTTATATGTATTTAATAGATGTCATATGTATTTTATGACATGGATTTAATAGGTGTTAGGTGTAAATTTTATTATTGACTTAATAGGTTTTATGCATAGTTATGGTAGATGTACTTTATACCATATCATGACTTTTCTGGCGATTTTCCTGGCCTTCTATACCTGGGGCATCTGGGGACCCTCTTTCCCCATTTTCCTCCTTCTCCCCAGGGTCTCATGGGGATTCTGGGTCTGACTGGGGCTTAACCCCTTCCCTCCTGCGGTTCACGTTGGCTCCCGCCGGCTCCAGGGCATTAACACCTTCTTCCGGCCTATCCGTTCGACCCCTTCCTAATACAACCCTCAGGGGGACGGCCGGACTCACTGCCATCGCTCTCTAAGGCTGCCCCATACCGTACACCCGGTAACGTGCTGGATGCTTTCCAACACCGACTACCTTGGTGCAGGGCAGTCTGTGGGGTGACCACGAGGTAGCCCGAGCATGACGCGGCGGCCTTCTTTGATCCCGCGTCTATTGAGACTCCAGGGACCATGTTTCCCATCCATTACCCTCGGCGGCCATCTTTAGTCTCGCGAGATTATGGGCGGCCGTTTTGCTACTCTCGCCCACCATGATTTCGGCGCTCGAGAGTAACATATACCTGGGCTGTCAGCTAGCCTAGCTGTTCTCGTGGCTTGGGGTCCCAAGTCCGAATCCAGGCAAAGCTAAGTATTCTAACTGCCTATTATTTTCAGATTTGAGTCATAGCACCCTCAAATTCCTTAAAGATACCATTCTTGGACCCTTAGAGGGAACTCCTTAAAGGGATACCACCGCGGTACTACTTAAAAGGATACCACCCTGGAACTACTTAAAAGGGATACCAAATCCTTAAAGGGATATCACCCTTGAATTCCTTAAAGGGATAGCACCCTTGGACACAGACTATCAAGATGGTACTGTATAAGTACATATCAGTGATGGGAGATTTGAAGGGATATCACCTGGATCAGGAATCTACAGCAAGACTCTGTCTGGTAATGGATGCTCAAAGGGATGACCCCTATCACTTAGACTACCTGTCAGAACACGACAGATGACGGAGCTTAGAGCTAGTGCTATATCCTATTATCCCTCAGATGTCAGTCACTTTTGTCTCATTACTGCCATATTAGGCACTAAAGGGCTTATTACCCTGTACCTGCCTGGGGTGCTGCCCCTATTACCGTGCTGCTTTTTGGAGGTCTCCCTGTGGCCACCTCTGTGATCCTGGGTGAGCCCCAGTTATACAAATCCCAACATTGTGGTTTGCCCTGCTGGGACAATTTGACAACACTAAGTGACAGATACAGAATACCCTGCCAGGGTTATTACACCTTACTGTCATTTATACAGACCCTGCTGCGGTCCACTGGCATTATTTACACTACAACAGATACCCTGTTGGGGTACCCCATATCACACACCCTGCTGGGGTTGTTTTGATACTTTGAGACAATAAATTGCACACTACTACACCCTGCTGGGGTCTGCATGGTGCATTGCACACAATGAAATGGATTGTGCTCTCATCCAGTCTGTTTTATTTGGCCACGACCCACGCTTGACGGGTACATACCCCGCGCACCTGAGGTGATCTCTGACTAGGTATAAGCCAATCTATTCGGCTAAAGAGGGGACAGAGTCGCAAGCTTCAGTGCAGAATATCCCCCATGGCGGTGCATTAATTATTGGAAGAGCTGTAGGACACTCTCTATCAGGCTTATGGCCAGCACTGATGGGTTCATACCCAATGCAACCGGGGTGAGTTCCCTACAGCACTGCTGCTTCTACTCCTACCCCTATCAACAGCGAGCTCGAGGATTGAAAACCCAAACATTGGAACCGGGGCCCGGCACTTACAGGTTCAGACCCGGTGCTCTCGGGGTGAGACCCCTTCGATGGGGGAGTCACATACCCGACCGAAGGAAGTCTTACGGCAACAGCCTCTACCTACAGCAGAAGGAATACCTCCATTGATAATGAATCATGACACGGTATGGGTTTATGTACTGTACCTATTCTGCGGCCTGCAGTTAAAGGCCCACGCCCTATGCACCGGGCCCGGCTAGGCATGCACTGCACTAAAATGCCTAACAGAGGTATGCAGTTACAACCTCTGAACAGGAATTCCGAGCCGCCTACTTAACGATATATATTCCCCTTGAGGTGAATTTAATAATGGAAGAGGTGACTGATAGTGATGTCGCGAACCCGAAATTTTCGATTCGCGAACGGCGAACGCGAACTTCCGCAAATGTTCGCGAACCGGCGAACCGGCCGAAACGCCATTGACTTCAATGGGGAGGCGAATTTTAAAACACACAGGGACTCTTTCTGGCCACAATAGGGATGGAAAAGTTGTTTCAAGGGGACTAACACCTGGACTGTGGCATGCGGGAGGG